CCCTTCAGTTTTCCAGGCCAGTAAGTAATCAACAGACACGTGTGGGAGGGGGGGGGGGGAGAGTGATAGAAATGCTCCCCTGAATAATGGCCCACGCACGAAAGTACGGAAGTATAGGCATCGTGCGCATGTAATGACCGCTGCTTTTCATAATGGAAGCTAAATGCACAGGCGTATCTCAAAACGGTATTGCTGAACCCCAGTTATTTTATAGTATTTTTAATTTTACAACATCATTTCCGCAACTAAGGTCATCCAATTCTATTCAGATGTCTTTGACTCTATTCTGAGCTGTTCAGCTGAAATTCCATGAGCAGTGGGTGTTCTTCCGTGGGTGAAATTAATTTCTGTTGAACTGCTAAAATTGCGTCAATAGTCTGAAAACAGTTTGTATGGGGATCTTTTTGTGGTCCCTTTCATGCGAGAATCCCATCACTTTCGAAGAAATGTAAATAACAGACAAAATCTATTGAAGCTGAATGATGATAATCACTTTTCTTTGCAAAGATTTCCGTTGGTTTGATGGTAATTGCTTTTATAGGCCTTTCCAAACAGTGCACTTAGGTCCACGATTTATTGATTTTCTGATCGTTGTAATACCAGAATATCGTGATACACTTCTTATCGTCATCATGATCTTAACTACTGTAAACGGAAGTATAAATACGAGATCTGGTTAGAGTAGGGATTTGATCGATTTGACTGAATGTTGATGTTCGGATTTCATTCAGTACAAACGATACAAGCGCCGAATGAAACGTTCACGTTCAGGCGTTAATAGTAGAGGGTTGTAGCGATCGCTCTTCTTCTCGAGATCCTGCACGTCGTCAAAGTCGTTCCTGAAGCTTACAGTGTTAGAGGCCACGGAAAAAAAAATTGAAAAGTGAATTAGAAAGAAAAATAAGACCAGCTCAGTAACAACGTCTGACACAACGGATAAAATTCTATTTAGGCACTCAAAAACACGTCTTTTTGAAAATTTTCGTTGTTTGTGTAGTGCAGTGAGCGAAAGTAGCGCAGTGGCAAGTGGCGCACTATCACACATGGAATGGGATTTGAATCTCGTTCAAGTACTCCTCAGGTCCACCAGCCTTCCATCCTTCCGAGATAGGTTGGGTTAGTTAGTACCAGACCCGTCTAGGAGGATAGAAGCACCGACTTGTACACGGGCTGGTCACCGCAATTCACTGCCTAGGTGACCTACCCATTGAAATACCGCTACGATTCTGAATGAAAGTGGAAGGCAGGGCGCATCCCGAAAACGGTATTGATCATCTGTGAAAGGTCTCAGATTTCATCTGCAGTTCTCCCAGCCCTTTTTCAGATAGTACAGCTACATTAACAAATTAGTGATTTTCCCTATCTTTGCAACACGTGGACATCCTCCACAACAGACAAAATTCGGTAAATTCTCTGGCTTCATTAAACACAATAGAATGCTCGATTTCGTTGCTGCTACAATTTAGTTCCCTTTACTGAAACATCCCTTATGGAATGGGAGTGCAATTGAGTAATCCGCTTGTCCTTTTTTCGAAAAAGTGTCCTCGCAAATCAGCTATCATTTGATTTCTGCACATGTCAAACCCGCCACAGCAATTGTGGCTTTTAAGTAATGAAAACCAACTACATGGCGTACATCGCGTTTTTGCTGATTGCCCTCAAATTGTTGGCGTCTGTCCAAATTGGTAGGAATCGGGGCGTAGGTGGATTATGGTGCTCTCAAAAAGAACGAAATGAAACGTTGTGGTGATATTGCCCGATTTCGACCCTGCCCTTTTCCTTCAAAGAAGGCTAAGTACGCAGGGAGGCTCTGAAAGCTTGCCCCAAGACTACCCAAACTTTATAGGAGGGTAAGTGAAGACAACAGCAGTCCAAATAGGTGATGGAAAATTGGCATATGGAGCAGTATTTTTATCTCCAGGAGAATTCGTAGGTGACAGAACAACGAAGAGCATTCACCAGGCATTTCGTGTACCCGAATGCTAGGCTGTTCATCATATAAATTAAGATTCAGTGAGCTTGGGCCAATGATTCGCTAAAAGTTCCTTCGGCTGTAACTTCGGTGTAACTCGCGATGTTCGAAAATGGGCATCATCTGGCTCTATGACGACTTAGGGATGTCCTTATATGTATTAGTTGACTGTTGTTCAATAGTCTGTGAGTCGAAAACAATCAAATGCAGCAAACACTGTCCAGAAAAGAGGCCTTCGTTTTTGTTTTCCACCAGTTGATTGCTATTTTGAAAAAAAGCGAAGAGCGGATATGAGTTTGGTTTAGTATTATTCATACGGAAATTGCAAAACTTATGTGCGTTTTTTGTTACCGTATCCCTCCGACAAATTTCCCCGACTGGGATCGTCTTTGATGCCAGAATCTGCATAGCGTTTCGTAGATCTTCTGTTGCGGCTGTTGTTGCTGAGATGATTTTGATTGAGAGCTGTTGGTTAGAACCAAGACTTGGACAGTTCATGCAGTAGTTCATGCAGGCACCATTTTTGCGAGATCTTCCTCTGCTTGTTAGAGCTGGGCAGGTTTGCGAGCGTGCGCCCACAGTAGAGCGATAGCTCTGAAGGCTTCATTTGGCCTATGTGTTTCTCGGGGATAGGAAAGGTCTCCGCTTTCTTTTGAAGTTGACAAACATCTACTGTTGGCTCTAATCTAAAAAGTTACATTTGAAACGACAGGAGAAGTTGCTGGAGAACTGAGCGATTCAAAGTTGCCATTCAGAGAGGATTGCAAAGGTAAAAAAATTGGACAGCTGGTTGTCGCACGAGTTGATGAAGTGTCAAAGGATCAACCGATTTAAGATATCCACAATGCCTCTGTCACGTGAGAAAAACAATTCATTTCTCGGCGGTATTATTATGTGCTATGGAAAATCGCAAGAAATCCTTTACGGCATGGACACCTTCATCCTCCTATTGGGCCAGTAGGACTAAGCTTTCATTTTGGTCAACCACTCACTCGTGA